CTGAGGTCCCTGGCTGATCTGTCTTCTTTTCTCCATCTTTCAGAGTCTCCTTACATTTGTTTTATATATAATGTCCAGGGTTTTTAATTGTACCTACCAGGAAGATTAGGAAAAACTACATCTACTGCATCTTCCTAGAAGTGAATGTCTCCTGTTTCTTTTTCTTTTCTTTTTTATGTCATTTTTTTAATTAGGAGGGCAACATACAATTTTCTCATTAGGGTCTTTAAAGAAATTAAACAGAATTATGAAAAACTGATTAATATATTTTGTATTAAAAAGAGAAAACTTGAGATAGAGAAATCATTTCTCTCTGTAATTTATTTTTTAATACCCATTTCTCTTCTACTTTCCAATTTCTCTCAGTTTGTTTCTTGACTAGTTTGTCACCAATAAATGCTCCTTTAGGACTTGCAACACTTCTGTTTAGAAGTGAGGTTTTCTTACTTGAAAGTTCTTGCTGAATGACTCCCGCATGGGGGCATGTCCCTTGCCTCATTGCTGTTCCCCTGTGCCTATCACAAGACCAGGCCACATGCTAGTATTTAATACATATCTGCTGAATAAGTGAATGAGAACTGAAAATTTAAATTTTCTTTTCTCTGAGGGCTTATCTACTTTCTTCTTGCTGTGCTGAAGCATGAGGCACATGTGTCTGCCATGCCTGATTCCCCACCAAGCATTTGTAAGCATGTGCTTAGGACATTAGCAAAATTTGTCCAGAATTTTGCAATCTAGGAAAAAGCAATTTTAATTTCAGCACATGTGTAAGTTTTTGTTTTATGATTTAGAATTGCTGGTATTTTGAATTACAAATGAGGAGGATACCAGAATGGTTCCCATGCGTACGTGTGTGTGTGTGTGTGCACAAGCACATTCACTCCTATTGCTCCTAAAGAAAGTGACCCCAAGAATATGACATAAAAAAGACCATAGATCACTTTTAGGATATATTTCCTAGATCCCCATATCTTTTTTTATCTTGGATGATTTTTCTTTTATTAGGCAAGTCATGGTTTGATTGTCTTTTTAAATCTTTGTCATGTATTGTGCAACATGTGTGTGTCTGTATTCACGGAGGAGGGATAACATTAGTCCATCATTTTGTAAGGTGCTGAATACAATTTTAGATTTTGTGCAAGCATAATTATGCTTTAGATAAAGATTCTGCCAGCATTGAAACATTCTTTAATGCATGTAGGAGACATAATTCTTTTTAGTCCTACTGAGTATGTTTGGTTCAAATAACTAATAATACTTGCTTTCCTGCTTGTCTTTAGATTCTGCTTAAGGAAATAATGAAAGATTTAATTCACTGTACTTTTGTTAGAAAGTATGGAAATGTTTGTCCATGGGAACTTTCATAGCCTGCTAGAATGGAAATTCATCAGGGCGGGGGAACCATTTCATTTACTGCATAAGAGCTGTTGATATATTCCCTGCATCTTTCAAAGGCATCTTTCATGCCACACAGGCAAACTGTAGCCAGTGAAGGAACAGAAAGAGCACCTCTTACATGAGTCAGTCTCAGCTAACTTGCACAGCAGCTGTGCTAGGTACTGATGACGATTACCACTGGACCCAGTTGCAGGGTTTTGTGTGGTTCAAGAGACAACTGGCTCTCTTGGCGGACCACTTTGATGGAGATTGTAGCAATAATGCATCCCCACTGTTGCTAGTAGATATCGTGGCCATGTAGTACAAAATCGGTGCCAGATACAATCAGAAAGTAATAAAAAGGAAAAAGAAATCTCAGAGATTTTACATCTTAATGTGAGAGACTAAAACAAATGTCCTGGGCTTGTTGCATTCACTCGTAAGGAAAAGGAGACAGACGAAGGGATACCTTTCACTGAGAGAACTTGCAGGGCGTTCAGTCTTTTCATTTGAGAACCATTTGGGCGTGTTGTGAAATAAAGTTGCAGAGTAGGCATTCAGACCTTTATGTGCTACATTTAGTAGGAAAGAATCCCCCCCTCCCCCTTAACTACAAGAAGCCAGAGTTTTCTGTGCAAACTGAAACAGGCATTGCAAGAATCAGATTCACTTTGGACGACTCTTCACATTCCAAGTCATCATTGCATTAGGCAGCACAATTCCATCTCTGGTTGATGGGCAGAAAAAGTGGGCAGCTTGCCAGGTAGACGTTTCCATGACTCCCAGCCCCCAAAGGTGATGCGTTTTTCAGCTAATTCAATGAAGAGTGGGCTGAACTTTGGGTCTAAACGAGACAATAGCTGCCTTCGCAGTATCAGCAGAATGGTTGATGGGAATGCACTCTACATTTGGCAGAGAATCATGTGACCTTACGACTGAGATTTTGTGATGGTGCCAACGGAGACTTGGAAAGCAGCAACCGTCCTGACTTTTTTCTTCTTTTCTAACATGGCTCAGAAAATGGTGGATCTTAATACTTGACTTTAGCCAGACTCAGCAAGCGACTGAGCTTTGAAGCACAACTTCGCCTTTATTCTGGGTTTTTGGCAGGCCACCAGGAGGCTGTCCCTTTCACGCCTGATAAATTCTGCTGCTTATCTCTAAATAGGAAAAAAAAAAATAAAAGGAAAATATAAACAGAATACTGGGGCATAACAAGTGAATCCTAAAATTGTACGTGCTTTTTGTTTTTTTGCTTTTTCTTACTGATGATTTTTTAATACCCTTTCTGCTTGCTGAAGAATCCAAGTAGTTCTTTTTTTTTTTGGTTTATAATGAACAGGCATTTGAACTGGGCAAACAGGACGACAGCAGCAGTGAGCATGAGATCATTGCAGCAGTGAGTGTAGCAACCTGGCACCCTGCCTTCTCACCCTTTTGGTTCAGGAGACAAGCGTGTGCAATCCTCATTTCTAAAGTCAGCACAGCCTGGAAGGATTCCTGGTCGTTCCCACCTTCTACCATTCTGCTGCCAGGGACGGCAAGGATTGGTGCAGCTTCTGCGCAGTGCTTTGTGCCTGGAATACCGAGAAGGAAGAAAAAGAAGACAAGCACCCTGGTCCTTTTTTCCAAGAAAGAACAGGAGCCCTGAAGAAAAAAAAAAAAAAAATCTCTGAGTTTGTCCTACTCCGTGCAACAGTGCTGAAAAAACTGAGACGCTCCTGCTCCAAAACAAAAACAAAAACAAACAAACAAAAATCCAAACCAAAACAAACCAAAAAAAGCAAACATTGGCTTGTCTAACTACAGAGACATCGGGCTTTGTACAGCAGCTTTGTAAGGCAACATAACCAAATGAGCCTTCTTTATTTTTATTATTTCAAAAATATGGCATAATTAGCAATATATTGCACTTGGTGAAATCGCACCTTTCATATCAGGTATAACTTTTTTTGTTGTTTCTTTTTAAGTCTGCTGTTATATAAAAGGGGATCCTTGAACTTTCAATTTACTCTTATTTAACTCATCACCCGCTTTACTCTTAACTTTTTCCTTTTGCTCTCTCTTTAATCCTGATTAGTATAGAAACTTAAGTAAAAATAGAAAAATCTCTATAAAAAAGACAGTACTTTTTTTTTTTGTTATACATAGAAGTTTTGGAAAGACATTCATATGTTATCTGTGCTTTTTGTGTACAGTGTTAGTTTTGGCTACCTAAGAAAAGTGAGTGTTTAGCCCTACTTGGTAAAGAAACTAAATCTTTCATATGCTGTGACTCATAATTTGAAATGTGAAAAAAGAAACTTTTTAAACTTCTAAAAAAGGATCGTATTGGAATATGCATTAAACTGCTGATAAATAAAATTAGTTTGGGGAAAGTTATATTTAAATTATTTTCCAGGATTTCAGTGTAACAGAAAAGAGATGAGAAGATCATGTTCTCAGTTGCTAAGCAGAAAAGAAGCTTGTTCCACAATAATACTCTCTTTTAAAATATATTTTAAAAGAAGTGTTTGTTTTAAGAGCGGTTGCAGAGGGTGTTGGAAATATCCATTAAGTATTTTAGTGGAAAAAGTACATACAAACTTGTTTTAAGTTTCAGGCAATGTATTGGCTCGGCAGATAAATGCATTGCATTCTAATTATTTTGTCTGTTTGTAGAAGTAAATTGCTAAGCAATTTAAGCATTTTATAACAAAACCCAGTTTTGCCTGGTTCAATGGGAAAGGATTAGCAGCTGTATTCCACCTATTTTTTGATTAAAACTGTTTTGTGTTTAAAAATTGTTAAAAAGAGAAAATGCTCTTGAAACATACAGCGTATATAAATGAAGACTATAATTTGCATATTACAAATTGATGCTATCATATTTTCCGTGAAAAGAATAAACTTGAAGCAAACTATTGTGCTTTTGAAATAATATTTTATCATATTGAAAATATGTAGGGTAAACAGTGAGGAAATATTATAGAACTGATGAATTCTTTCTTCTTATTCTACGAAGAATTATGGGAAGTTACAAACACTCTATATACTGATAGCATTTAAATAAAACGTTTTATTAAGTTTATTGGTTATTGTTCACTAATTATTTAAAAAATAGCTCTTGTTCTTTATGCTGCCTCAGCTAATGGAACGTCAACTTTCACAGCCTTAATTAACATTTATAAACCTGTTTTCATGTTTCAAGATCCTTTAGTTGAAAAACATTTATTTTAAATGTTATTTTTAGGAGCCATTAGTCTCTACACTCTTAATTATCTTATTAAGCTCCATGCCAAATCCAGATCTCTTTCCAGCTTGCACTAGCTCATTGTGCAAAACATAGTCGCTTCTTTAACAGCCATGCCTCCTTTCACTTTCAAAACTGTTACTGTGAAAACAACACCAACCAAAATGAAGGCATAAATGCAAACTATGAAACCACATTATATGTCATATGAGTAGCCTTGGGTGGGGCTCTTTGAGTCTTCCAAGCCTTTTTTTAAAAAAATACTTTAAAAGGTTTTGCCATTTTGATATTGTGTTCTCTTCTCGATCGTCTACCTTCATTTCCACCATCCACCCAGACGCTCCTCCTAGACAGCAGTTGTCTGATATTTCTCCTTTTGTGGTTGTTTTAGGGAAAAACTTAAAATGGATATGAGAAGTGAAGAAAGTGATCATAGGAGAAAATCATCTCAGGTAAAAATAAAAAGCGAAAGAGCAATTAATATGTAATATTTTTAAAGAAAAAAACTAATTTTGACTATGTTTAGTTATAATAATTTGTTTCATATTCTTTATGGATCTAGCTGTTGGAAATTTCATTGATAGTTTGAGAATTTATAATATTATCTACCTTTGTGAAAAATTTTTGTCTGAGTTTGTGATCACTGTACAGTTTGAGTCCCTTTGAGTGTATATCTGTATAGCCATTCATATGACATAGGTGGAATACAGTTGAATAGTAAGTAATTTAGAAAAAAGAAAAAATGTCTTTTTCATTTGTCATACCATTTAAAAGGAAGTGAAATCTGGGGGGAGGGAATAAAGTTGTGCCTTTTTTTAATGATCTAATAAGAGAATGAACCAAAATATCCATTCTTATGGTTATGATAAAACCCAAAACAAATAAATGTTGCCTTTTATTTTACATCTAAAGTTATGAATATATGTTGAAATATTTTTACTACAATTGAATGCATAATTGTTGATTTTTTACTATAGTTTTTAATAAGTATAGGAATAATTAGAAAACAGATAATGGTAAAAAATTATGTAGACCAAATTATCTATATAAAATCTATAAAACACATTTTATTGGATTTATTTAAAAACATGCAAAACACTAAGTAATTTTTATGTACTATTACTATTTTTCACAATGAAGATATAATTTAAGAATGCTAAATATTGTGGATATGAGTGAAACGGTTAATGATTGTACGACTTATAATTTTGTTGCTGTTGAACTTAGAATCTTAAAAAATGTGTATGTGGCTGGCTTCGTGTTTACTCTTTGTGTGTTTGTTTATTGTCTGGTGGTTTAAATTTTTTTTAATAATAATTTATTTTTGCCCAACCTCTTGACCAGATGAGAGCTGTGTGTAGCCATGTGTTTTAAGTATATATGTTTTGAAAAACAGATTTAAGTATATCGTGTTTGAGACAAGATATCCTCTTGTATGCAATAGATCTGGAGTATAAATGTTAGCGCACAGTTTAGTAATAATGCTATTAAAGTGTCCTTAATTTTAGTTTTCTGATATTCATTTATCCAAATATCGTTAATTTCGGTATCATTCCAACTATAGACACATATGTATATATTTAAGACTTTTAAATAACTTCCTGTGTTCTCTGCCTACTCAACAAGATCTTGCTTGTTTTATGAAAAAGTTATAATGTTACCAATTCCTTGAAACCACTAACAGAGGTTTTATAAGAGTTAAAAGAAGCACAGTCTATCTAACTCTTACACAATTAACTTAATAGTTAATTTGGTCTTAATTATAGGCTGGTAATACTACATTCATGCCTCACAATTACATAATTCATACATGCATGTATGGATACTTTTTTTTTCTTTTAAAACTCATTATTAATTAGAATAGTTAATTTCAAAATATTCACTATTAAAAGAAAATTAATCTGTGAAAAATCTTTCAATATACTATTTTTTAAATTCTCATGTATATAAGCCTGTATTTAGTTTATAATATTTATGAAGGCCTTTAACTGGGTGTATGCACACTTAGAGCATTTCAGCATTTAAAATATTTATACTAAAGTATCGATATTATTATTTTCATCTCTTAATTTCATCAGATATTTACAACAAATTCTGCATTAATAGGGAGCCCATGTGAGATGTTGCCCATTGGCATAAACCCGTAGATCCGATCTTGTGGTGAAGTGGACCGCACAAGCTCGCTTCTATGGGTCTGTGTCAGTGTGGTAATCTGACAAAATGCTATACACAATGCTGTTAAATAATATTTCAGTCAAACTCTTGTTAAACTCTAGTTGATTAGTTTTGAAGTGATTATATTTTCCTTTGTTTTTTGTGTATATGTTAATCCTCATCTATCTTACGAGGCAGGTTTCAATTGTCGACCACTTGGAAGGATTTATAGCACAGCCATTCAAGTTTGAATCCAAGTAGAGTAAATTGCTAAAGAAACTTGCATTTTTTATAACAAGGTTTGAACCAAGATCTGAATAGATCTTGTTCAGAAACTTCAGTTCACGTTACAGTGGTTAGTGCACCTCATCAACTTCAATAAGAAAATTAAAGACTGTAGCTGGATTTATGTGTTACTATTGAATCTATTTCTCTTGAAAAATGAAGCTGAATGCTATTGACTTTTAATATTATTAATCGCTAGTAGAACCATGCCAGGGGAGATGTCAGAGGACATTTTGTATGACCTATGCTGAAAACCCAAGAGGTTAGGATAGTCTTAGTCAACACACATTGAGCTTATTGGTAAAATATTAGAATATTCTATCTACATCCTTGCCAAGCCCATAGGTATATGGCCGCCATATTTGGAGGAGCTGACTGAAGATATGATAAGGAGTTTGAAGCAACATTGGAAGCTGTGTGCATCCGGGTTGAGGTAGTAGGTTGTATGGTTTAGAGTTACACCCTGGGAGTTAACTGTACAACCTTCTAGCTTTCCTTGGAGCACACTTGAGCCATCGAGGAATTCTTCATCACTTTAATCTGATTGAGCCAATTTTTGTGCAAGAAGGTAATGTGTCATGAGTATTTTGGATAATTAATTTGAGCCTTTATTACATTAAAATGATCCTTATCCTAGATATTAGGTTATTCCATTTGCATCTACTTATAAACACTAGCAAGATGGTATTTCTAATAGGTGGTTACTCTGTGATCAAACATTTTTAAGAACTGGTGAGTAGTGACTTAAACCACATTAATACTGCAGCTTTTTTCATCCACAGATTCTCAAAATTCGGCACTTAATTTTGCAAACTGACCATTAGTTTTTCTTTCTATTTTTGTTGGCTACTTAGACACTATGATAAAAAAAAATATCTGCTAGTGTCAATGACTTCCATTGCACATTATCCGAGTCTTTCTTATGACACATCACTTTCTCCCTTTTGTTATGGCTATCTATGTGCTTGTTTATTTTTTTCATACTAGACTGTAAGCCCCTTGAGGGCAAAGTCCATGCCTTGTTTTTCATTGTATCCCCTGCAATGCCTTACACACAATAACTAAATATTTATTGGATGAATGAATGAAGTATACGATCTCACTCTGTGATGTTTCTGTTGAATATTTGAATGAATTACAACGGTGGTCACAAATGTGAGTTTTGTTTATTGGTCCTGAATTTGCCTAAATTTAATTTGCAGACTGCTCTGCATTGGTAATATACTTGATTTGTTTTTTGACTATGTTGAGTGTGTCCACTCATCCTAGACATACACTTTCAAATTTAGGAGTACTTTTCTCTAGAATAAAAAGAATAGAGCAAATTCATTTTTATTAATAAGTTAATTATAGTTTATAATCCTAAATTTAGATTATGTATATTTCATTTGAATTCTTAAATTCTTTGATTTCCAGATGAATGGTTTTTCTTTCAGCATCAGTTTTATACATCAGCCTTTTGTATTCTGTAAACTTCCCTTATCTTCTACTCTTTATTTTTGTACAGCTATATCTGTCGAATAAACCAGAAACAAACAGAAACATGTCAATAAACTAATAATAAATAAATACATGAAGTATAATTTAAGGATTGGATCACATTTTTGTTTGAAGGAAAGGCACCTACAATATTCTGTCTGTATAAAACGAGTCCCTTTGGAGTCCATTAACTTGCTGTCAACTTTAGTGACAGTGAATGGTGAAGTTCATATAGAGAGCCTAGTTTATATAGATCATCTTTCATTCAGAGAATTAAATAGTTGTAGATATTAAATAATTGTAGATATGTGCTTTAATTTAAATTCCAGCATGAAACATTGCATACCTAAGAAATGATTTTAAGATACAAATATATGTTAAGAACCCTAAGATCATGGCTGTGTGGTGATGAGCTTTCTATAGAATACTCCTGCATCCAGACTAGCTCAGAATTGAGAATTTACCAACAATGGTAGTAAAGAAGAAACTTTTTAATCACCAAAAGGAAGAACATGTGGGCCTTAGAAAGCTGAATACCAATGATTTCAAGCAAAATTATTTGACTGGTATGCTGAAGTTAAAGACTAGTGGTCTCTAAGAAAGAAAAGTCTTTGTAAGGACTAATCCAGAGACAATGAACAACGGGTAGGAGACAAAGACAAGAGAGCAAGAAAGAGAAAGAGAGAGAGAATGAAGAAATGAAAAACAAAGGGACTTCTAGCAAAGAGAAAGAATCTTGTGTCTAATGGTAGCAGTTCAAACAAAGGTGGAAGAAACAGACAACTGAGTGGTAAACAGTTACACCTTTGTAGACAGTTTAGCCCTTGAGAGCCTAGGATCCCTTTCCTCTGTGTGTATATGTATTTGTGTGTATCCCAATAGGCTGTGTAGATTTAGAGACCAAGTCATGAACAGTGATGGGCCAAATAGAATACTATTTCCAGTAAATGCCTGTTTCCATGCAGTGCAATAGAGTTAAGTATATCACAGAAGTCAACTGTGATGTATAGTTTAAGGATAATCTTATAAAAATACTATGACAAATGCGTAGAATTATCTACACTATCTAAAGTGAACTGGTATTATAGAAGAATAGGTGAAAAGTGACAAAGATGTAACTATGATCCATTGTGCTAGTCATGCAAAAATCATCATAATTCTGAAAGGCAAAGGATATAATTAACATCAATGAAGAAAATAAACTTCTCTGTATGGTGAGAATACTACATGGGAGAATTATGATTTCACTAATGATTAATAATAAATTTTGCTCCTCCAGCTATGGAGGTTATTTAACTTACTATATTTTTATGAAAAAAAAATAGTAAATGACAAATACACAAATTGGTAAGATCATTTTTAAAGAAACCAAGATTCAGAACCACTGCTGGTGTCAGTATCTAGAAGTTAAATTATGTCTAAGAAACCATAGGGCAACATTGTACATTTAGAGAATTACCCTTAAATGGCAGAGAAACTATATAGATTGAATAATTTCTTTAAGAATTTTAAGTGGTCAAATTTTACTGTATACCAAAGTTTTCACATTTG